GTGGCGGTCCTAGTCTCGGTCCGCCCATTTCACGTCCCCGTCACGGTTGCAGTACCACTCCCCATCCTAGTCCACCTGATTCACCTCCCCGTTCCGGTCACGGTTGCGGTATCACTCCTCATCTTAGTTCACCTGTTTCACCTCCCCGTCTTGGTCCGCCCATTTCACGTCCGGTAGCGGTACCACTCCCCATCCTAGTCCACCTGTTTCACCTCGCATTGCTTTGGTGTCCTGCAGGTTACTGTGAAATAACTAGTGACTATAAAAAAGCCAAAATCAAAGAGATGTTTACAATACACGGCTTATGGCCGTTTGACCAGAACGGGCAGGACCCACAGTCCACTTCTATGCCTGCTTATGACGATAAATTAGTAAGTTTATTATTATTATTTTATTAAATTATGGATTTCCATTTTTGATAGCTCTCTGGAACTCTAAGGAAAAAATTGACTCAAAGATGGCCCAACTTGAAAGGAGACGATAAGATATTTTGGAAGAAGCAATGGGATAAACATGGCACAATATCAATTAAGTTGATGGATCAAAAATTGTACTTCCAGAAAGGGCTCCAAATGAATGCAGCACTACGAGATATCAAGTCACTATTGGCACAGGATAATAAATATACTCCTAATGCTAAGAACCAAATACAGTTTAATGATTTCTATAATTTGGTGAGCAATGTCTGCTTTGGCCTTTACAATTTTGTCTTATTTCGGCATTCGGGTCGTAACATAACCTTATCTCTGTAAGGATTTTGTCTTATTTCGGCATCCGGGTCGTAACATAACCTTATCTCTGTAAGGTAAATGTAACCATTTGTTGGATGCTTCTGGCAAATTACCAGAAGATCATAACCCGCCGTTTTGGTTTGGAGGTGTTGATAGAAATCATTAAACTGTATTTGGTTCTTAGCATTGGGAGTATATTTATTATCCTGTACCAATAGTGACTTGATATCTCGTAGTGCTGCATTCATTTGGAGCCCTTTCTGGAAGTACAGTTTTTGATCCATCAACTTAATTGATATTGTGCCATGTTTATCCCATTGCTTCTTCCAAAATATCTTATCGTCTCCTTTTAAGTTGGGTCATCTCCGAGTCAATTTTTTCCTTAGAGTTCCAGAGAGCTATCAAAAATGAGAATCCATAATTTAATAAAATAATAATAATAAACTTACTAATTTATTGTCACAAGCAGACATAAAAGTGGACTGTGGGTCCTGCCCGTTCTGGTCAAACGGCTCTAAGCCGCCTATGGTAAACATCTCTTTGATTTTGGCTTTTTTACAGTTGCTAGTTATTTCACAGTAACCAGGACATCAAAGTAATGCGAGGTGAAAGCGTACCCATTGCGAAAGACCGGGAGCTGAAACAGGTAGACTAGGATGGGTAGTGATATCGCGACCGTGACCGGGAGGTGAAACATGTGGACTTGCTAATAACATGTATGCAATAGGGAGAAGAATGAAAATAAAAGCAATAATAATAATAGGCAGGAAAATGAGTAGTAACGCCTCCATTTGATTAAATTAGAAGGCTACGATGAAGTATGTATATAATTTGAGATGGAGGAGAAATGATGAGGAGAGGGGAGAGAGATCAGTGAAGAAGGTAGAGAAAGTGTAAAGGAAATTGATGAGGAGAGGGGAGAGAGATCAGTGAAGAAGGTAGAGAAAGTGTAAGGAAATTGATATCGTTCTTGTTGATCGAGTTCAACAGGCAGATACATATATGGTGGATATAAATTAAGTTGGTTACAGCTGACAATGGTGATAGATTACAAGAATACCCTTATGCTATAGATTACAAGAATACCCTTATGGTATTTGTACTGCAGCTTGCTGTCCATGTGTTCCCACCCAAATTAACGATAAATGTATCTAGTAAAGATCGGGTAACATTTGTGTGAGGCGGTCTCACTGGTCTAAATCTCAATCTGTGAGATGAGTCAAATCTTTGACCTCATTAATCAAAGATTCGACCTGTCTCACGAATATAATTGTGACCCATGAGATGGTCTCACACAAATTTTTGCCTTACAATATGCAATATTTGATAAATTAAAGCACAATAATAAATAACTTACAATGAAAAGAGTTGAATGGAAGAGATATATAACTAGGCAAAAACTTGTGGGAGACCGTCTCACGGAGTTACGGATCATTGTTCGTGAGGCGGGTTTGATCAAGATAAAATGTACGTAATACTTATATTAGCGAATATAATACTAAATTAGTAATAAAATGTAAATTACTTATATGGGAAAATACAATACTTTTGAGGAAAAATGTAATACTTTTTCGAAAAAATGTAATACTTTTTCATCTTAATGTAAAAGTATTACATTTTTCATCAAAAGTATTAAATGCATTTTCCTTAATAAGTGCAACATTGCTTATAAAGAAAAATATAATACTCTTGATGGAAAAAACCTTGAGTCTAGAAGGAAGAAGCAAAGCCTAAAAATGGCGCACTTAAATGTTAGATCAACGCACCTTAAGTCTTAACCTCACACACCTTCAATTTAAAACACTTTAAGTAGTAAAATTTTCTCTCCTTAATTTATTTCTTATTTTTAGGGTCTCACAAGTTTGATGTTATGGATGACCTTTTCAACGTCTAGCTATAGAATATAAAAAAAATAAAAAAATAAAAAAATAAAAAAAAAACATTTTGTTATATTTTTCTTTTTAAATTATTCACTTTAGAGGGTCCAGAGTGTGTTCTGTTATTAATGATATGTGTTCTGTTATTAATGATAATAGAAGACTAAAAGATAATAAATACAATAGAGACCTATCTATGATACAAGATAGAGAGTCCAAGATAGAATATAATACTACTAAAAGATATATTCTTAATACTCCCCCGCAAGCTCAAGTGGGGTGACTAACAACATTGAGCTTGTCACGCAGCTGAGTACGTAAACTGAGGCCCAGCCAAGGGCTTAGTAAAGATGTCAGCAATTTGATCCATCGTAGAAATAAAATTCACATGAAGCTCCCCCTTAGCCACTTTGTCACGCATAAAGTGATAGTCGATTTCAACATGCTTTGTACAAGCATGAAAAAACAGGATTGGCGCAGAGATAAGTGGCTCCTAAATTATCACACCACAGTTTAGGAGACACAGAGAGGGGCAGACCTAACTCACATAGTAAGGCAACAAGCCAAGTAACCTCAGCCGACGCATTCGCCAATGCCTTATAATCAGCCTCAGTAGACGAACGAGACATAGTCCGCTGCTTGCGACATGACCAGGAAATTAACATGTAGCCACTGGTAGACTTTCGGTCTTCGGACGAACCAGCCCAGTTAGAGTCACTATAGGCATGCAAAACCTCCGTAGCAGACTTACGTAAAAGCAAACCAAAATGCAAAGTCCCCTTAATATAATGCAAAACACGTTTCAGCAACGCCCAGTGAGCAATCGTCGGTGAGTGCATGAACTGACATAACCTGTTAACAGCAAAAGAGAGATCCGGGCGAGTCACCGTCAGGTATTGCAAGGCACTAGCAAGACTCCTGTACTGCATGGGGTCAGCGTAAGGCTCAACAGAGCTAACCTCAGACTTAGCAACTAAGAGCGGCGTAACCAAGGGCTTGCAATCAACCATACCTGCTCGTTTCAAAATGTCACACATGTAACACTACTGAGACAACAACAAACCATCAGCCACAGAAACAGACTCAATACCCAAGAAGAAAGAAAGACCGCCCATGTCACGCACTTTAAAAGCAGAAGATAACTGACTGACCAAACTTGCAACACACTTCCCATCACTGCCCATAACAAGGATGTCATCTACATACACCAGAAGATACACAAAAACACCACAAACAGAATAAATAAACAAGGAAAAATCAGTGTTAGAGGGGCGAAAACCAATAGACACCAAAAACTCATGCAAACGGAGAAACCAAGCACGGGGAGCCTGCTTCAGCTCATACAACGAGCGCTACAAGAGACACACATAATCAGGTTGCGCCTTATCCTCATACCCCGGAGGCTGACGCATGTAAACGATCTCTGCCAACCGACCATTAAGAAAAGCATTATGAATGTCAAGCTGGCGGATCACCCAGATACGAGAGTGCACTAAAGATAGAAGCAAGCGTACAGTCGTCGGTTTAACAACAGGGCTTAAAGTCTTAAAAAAGTCCTGCCCCGGAACCTGATTGAAACCTTTCGCCACAAGCTTGGCTTTGTAGTGCTCAACCGAGCCATCCGCCTTCCGTTTCACACGGAACACCCATTTGCAGCCAACCACATTCATACCGGACTTAGCTGGGACAAGGCGCCATGTCTGGTTATGTAAGAGAGCATTAAACTCTACATCCATGGCATCTCTCCACTCAGCATGCCGAACAGCCTGAGTAAAGCAAGTAGGCTCCTGAGGAACAACCTGAGACACCAAAGCACAGTGAGGCTGATCACGGGGCATGTGAGAACGAGGTTGCCCCCGTACCCGCTAGTTACGAGTACATACAGGTTTCCTGGAAACACCACTAGGAGCAGGCAAAGTAGGAACAACCATAGCAACAGGAGACGGCACAGAAGCTCGAGAGAAACCAACAACACCCCATGAAAACCAGACATGGGCTTGCTCACCGGACCCTGCTCAACACTAGAGCGTGTAAAAGGAAAGCTGCATTCATCAAAACGCACATGTCTACACACAAAAATACGATTAGTGTTAAGATCCATGCACCTATAACCACGAAAGGACGGGGGGTACCCTAGAAAAACACAAGGAGCAGACCTATAATCCATTTTATGACGATTATAGGGACGCAAGTAGGGGTAGCATAGACAACCAAAAACTCTAAGGAAAGTGTATGACGAAGGAGAACGGTGAAGTTTATAGTGAGGACTAACATTGCCAAGAACAGAAGTGGACATTCTGTTGATAAGATATACCGTTGTTTCAAAAGCAAATTCCCAAAACCGTAAGGGAACAGATGCCTGTGCCAACAAGGCAAGACGAGTATCAACAATATGACGGAGGTCGATCCGGCATGCCCGATGTGTGGAATAGCGCATGAGAGTGCCATGCATGCATTAATTTCATGTGATTATTCAAAATTATTATGGAATATTTTGGGATTGCCTGTTACTAATGTAGTCACACATTCTTTATCGCCATGGCTTATGAGAGTTTTTAATATCTTGACAGAGGAGCAATGTGGTTTGGTCATAGTAGTGCTATACAACATTTGGAATGCCCGCAATACAGCGGTTTGGGAACACGCCCTCCCACGACCTGAACAAGTATGGCGACGTGCGGCGACGGCACTACATGCCTACCAGCAAATGCACCGTCCACCACCCACGGCGCCGGTTACCGAGGCTGCTGCGGCGAATGGCAGCGACACACCGAGGTGCTATGTCGACGCCGGCTACAGACCAGACACCGGAGAAGCTACATATGGGGCGATGCTCCTCTCTCATCACGGCACCTTCGTGGCTGCGACGAGTGGAAAACTATCGGGTGCTTTCTCGGCCGTTATGGCGGAGACGCTTGCTTGCAAAGAGGCGCTGTCTTGGCTTAAGGATCGGGATATCAGGAAGGTGGATCTTTTAACAGACTGCTCAGAGCTGCAGAATGCTTTATATTCAAGCCCAACGGCTAACTTCTCCCATATTGGGATCATTGTGGACCAATGTAGGACAGCCATATCGTTATTTACGCATTGTTCTTTAAGTTATATTTCTAGAACACTTAATTTTCATGCTCATACTTTAGCTTCGTTAGCTTTCGATCAGGAACAACCTATGTACTAGGACTCTGTCCCTCCTGACTCTATTGTTCATTTTATCCATTAATACACCGCTATTATTACTTTTAAAAAAATCTATTTAATTTTCTATAATTTATTTATTTATTACTTACGGAGTATATTTTTAAAAATTAATTGAAAACTAAAAAATGTACTGAAAAGTGTCCATTTATCCATAAAAAAAATTGTTATCTTTATTATATATATTCGAATATCCAAAATTTGTCATTTAATTCATTTCTCACAAATACCCACTACAACATTGATAGCAGGTCAACTCACTTTGTATAAAAAGATCTAAATGTCTTTGTATTTAATGGTATTTCAATGATTTTGTTGACGGAGGACCAAAAATGATTATACCAAAATAACACTATGATCAAAAGAGGATATTATGAAAAAAAAAAAATTAAAAGTGAGCTGTCACTTATAAAATTAAAACTAAAAAATTGAATTAACTCACCATACTATTACTACAAAATAAGTTAGTATTAGAAACTACTAAAAAAATCTACATTTGATCTAATAAAAAAATTAGAATTGAAAAAATTCTTAGAAATAAAGTTAAATTTAGATAATTTTAACCATCAAAATTGAAATTGAAAAAAACAAAAATAAAGTTAAAAAAAAAAAAAAAAAAAAAAAGTCAGTTTGAATGGTTGGTCCATACCTTGAGCAAGTCTAACCGTGGGTGTCTAAAAAAAGTTGAGTATGACCAATTCTTTTAAAGTTTCACCTCTATGACCAATTGAGCTGCTCATGCAAGTACATCAAGTATATAATCATTATTATACTATTGACTATGATCTACCTTGCAATACTACAAATTTATTTTTAATATATTAAATGTTCATTTTTTCGTATATTCAATAATGAACTTACAGTACACCAAAATTAAACAATTAATATTATTAATAATAAACATTTATCTATGATCCAAAGTATAATTTGCCAAATTTATATGTAGTACTATAATAACGTTTAATTTAGTCCCTATTTATTATATTGAGTAATTCCGTTCACGCTATACCAATCTGGCCAATATTAAAAATACATAATTTAGAACTAGGGTTCACCTTGCAAGGAGAACCTAGTCCATGCCTCCATGGTATAACAAGTGGCTAAGTGATATTCCTAGTCATATTGATATTTTGCTCTGTTATTTCTTGTTCTTCTTGTATTCAAATAATAAATATATAGCTGCTTCTGAGTTGTGAGATGAGTCAATTTTCAAAGCTCTCGTCAATTCTTTCATTCTCTTCCCATTATCTTCATTCTTGCATTCATTATCTTCATCAAATTTGAGCTCGCAATTGGTTGTGCGAAACATTAACTGATTGAATTTGAGAAGAAAAGTTCCATAACCAAGTTGGAATTGAAGCTCACCCTCTATTCCAGCATTAGATATGTCCACCCCAGAAATTTGATGTTGAGATTGCAACCAAACAGGAAATTGAGGACCCAAATTCCAATCACTTAGATCAAGCTCATCCAGTTTGGATTAACACTCATGGTTAATCTATTTCCAGATGCGGATAAATCAGTTAACTTTATGAGATTAACTTTGTCCATTTATCTCCGAGCAGAAACCGGGATGGTATATGTGTTAGATAATAAATTTAGTCTAACATGAATTGTAGTAAACGAGTAACCTCCCTCGTTACAGCGGAAGCTTTAGGATCGCCCGGATATCCCCAGCCATAGTCGTTCGAGATGGTAAACCTGCAGAAAGGTTAGTGTCGTTTTGTCTACCACTTCTCTCCCAAATACGTGATGGTGCGTGTCCTGAACTCGGGAGCTGTGGGAGGACTGTTTTGCTTAGAAGCCTACATGCCATCAACATAGGCAGATATTCAGTTAAAGCTTAACTGAATATCCTGAGTTGCATAACAGATTAAGTCACTAATTGACTCAATCTCCTACTTGCACCACAGCCACCCAATAATACAATATATTATAATATATTGTATTTAGGGAAAATACTTACATTCTCCCACTTGGTGCAAGTACTGGCACAACCTTCATTAAAGAACAAAATACAAGAACCATAGTAATACGTCATCTACTAATCAAGTGAGTAGTATCTACTATGATCACATGCATTTAAATTCTCTAACTTAGGTTCTTTATAAACAAACCCTACGTTTATTCTTAGTCCCTTAATGGATGTTTCTCAAAATATATTATGTGCACAACTGAATGAAGAAACCATCCAAATTCACTGTATGATCTCCAAAATCTTAGAAGCATGCCTTAAGTAGAGATCTTTTAATGTTAGCATAATGCTAACTATATTCTATGACTTGTTTATAAGTTAACATAAACACTACCTCTAACGGCTAAGAGCTTGGAGTTGACACGTCTGTCACTCCCACTCATTAAGATAGCCCAAAAGATAGTCCAAGTCACAGAAACATTCCAATGACATAAACCATAAGGTCTAAGTCAATAATTTGGAATCTTAAACGTACACCAACTTCCCAAATAATCTCAAGGTCCACCTCGAAATTAATTGAACATTACGAGTCTTATTATGTCTACAAAATTGTTTTGAGCCTTACAAACCAAAAATGGCCCAGGATCAATTTTGAAGAAACTAAAGACTTTGTTAATTGCTAAAGAATTTATTAATTGGCAATGCACCACAAGTTAAATGTTTTCGTTCTAATAAATTCATTAATATTGTTACAACATTTTCATAAATATGTTGTACAACCAAACGTTCAATGAAATGAACTTATGAATTATAAGAACAAAAGACTAAATTAATACTTGTGGAAACTTTTGGACTTATTGCTAGACGCACAATCCAATTTGGAATGTATGAAAACAATTAAATCCATCAGCTTTAGTGGAGTATTTAATGATCTTTTTCTAAATGATCACTCCCACTGATTAAGATATTCTTTAGCCAAATTAATGATATAACACTCATAATTGATTTGACCAACTAAATAATGAAGATATAATTCCCCACCATTAGTTGGGCATACTAAATAATCAATATTTGGTTCCAATTATAGTCCAACTAAATGAATAATTAATGAGGACATGATTCTCCACCATAGTTGGACATACTAAAATAATAAAATACGCCTTCCAAAACCAAGTTAGAATTCGGCTCAGAAGATATATTTTATTATTGGAATCCAAAAGAAGTATATCATACCACGCAACTTACTATAGTTAATCCAAATAACCAAGTAAGCTTCATGAAAAATAATTAATAAAATGTGTATCTAAATTTTGGGAAGTGACTAAATACATGTTTTGCCAATGCAAACCACGAAACTTAGAATTATAATTGAACTAAATTTATAAATTCTAAGAAATTGAGATAAAGTTATTATCGAATGGGTTGATGAATTTATTGACATAAAACTTGCCTGTGGGCTAAAGTTTTAATTCTATTAAATTCAATTAAACACTTATGATAGTATTTTATCTCAATTACTAAATAGTCAGAAGAATCTAGTGACATAAAACTTGCCTGTGGGCTAAAGTTTTACTCAATAAGATCCAACTGAAATTTTATGATGAAACAACATAAAACTTGCATGTGGGCTAAAGTTTTAATTCAATTAGATTCATTACAACCATTATGACAAAAAAAACTTAAGAGATCATGTTCCTTATCTTAATCCCTGTGGGCAAATTAAGATATATGACCTATAGTTTACATTATAAAATTAAGCTTCATGATAGAGATGAGAATTATTCATAAAGTAAATAAAATTCTTTATTCATATCATCACTGATAAAACTACTAAACTACATTCCGATACATAATTGCCTGTGGGCTAAATTATGATCATTGTTCAGTATTTCATCCTAATTAATCATACAAATATAACGAAATTGCCTGTGGGCTAAATTCCATCATATTACATACAATTAATCACAATTGATATGTCTAAAACTTTATGTGACCCTAACAACTCAATATATAATTTTAACTGATTAAGGATGCTGTGGCTACTTCCCAACTAATTAGAATTATAAGATCACTAGACATTTATCAAATTTTATGTGACCCAACAACTCAATATATAATTTTAACTGATTAAGGATGCTGTGGCTACTCCCCAACTAATTAAAATTATAGGATCACTAGGCATTTATCATTGCCATCTTTATGTGATTTGAACTTTAGACAATTTTTAGTAAATTAAAGATGTTGTGGCTACTCTTTAATTAATCTAGAAATTGTTATCACTTGGCAAAAGGGGAATTTAAAGCCTAACAAACGAATTAAACCAACACACGATAAACAATTATTAGGTATACTCCCAGGAAAGTTGGTCGAGACAAAGCTCGGTTAAATACCAACTCCTTAGACAGAGTAGTGTCGCAAGGGACTAGTAGCAACAAGGCTTTTAAGCCAGGGCCATAGAACTAGTATTCCTCCCCAAGAAACTTCCCTAAGGCATGTGTTTTCATGTTTGAAGTAAAATCGTTTGGGAGATCTATACAATTGTAGATTCACTTATGGATAAGGCTTTAAATTGATGAACTAAATTAACAGACTAAATGTGCTTAAATTCAGGCACTACCGCAGTTAATTTTATGCATAAAGTTCAACTTAATAAGGAACTAAATCCATTCTCAAACTATGCTTTCTAAATGCATAATAAATCTAAAGGCATAATAAATCGCATAATCTAAAATAAAATATTATGCTTAGAACAGATATGCATAAAATTAAATAATAAACTCATATATTCCAAATAAATTGCATAACTGAAAACAATTTTAATATGAGCAATAACCTCAAGTATACAATTAATATTCAAAACAAGTATGACTTCAAACCAAAAGAAATCCAAAATTTGAATAATAATATAATAGATATATACTTTGAAAGGTTAAAAACTATAAGCCCACGTGGAAAAGTTTTCATTGCATAAAATCAAATTTGTGAGAAACATGCTGAATTCACAAATATCAAGTCATAGTATATGTTTATTCGTAAATAAAAATCTCACAAATTCTAATGGCATAATT